AGAACAATATTTTATTATATTAGTTTTACATTAATATTGTAACGATGTCTCTCGAAACAACACCTCTAATAACTCTCTCTACCCAAATCTTATATAAAAATTTTATCTGAAATATTATCATAATACTATGTCCGAGTTGCTCAAAATTTAATAACTTTAATATATATTACATAAAAGGTGACAATATACTAAACCATGCGAAAGAAACCTATCTATTAACTTAGATTCATCGATTTTGATATAGAGTTAAAGAGATTAATCACGAAATATTATTTATATGTAAACTGTGCAGTTTATAATCATGGCACTTGAATGCTAATTTTTTTTATTTTATGTCAATTGATGGAATTCATTCAATTTCTGCATTTGTTGACGTTTTACACAGATTTATTTAAATCTAAAACGTGAGAGTGTGTGTGCTACAATATTTTTCACTTAAAGTTATTCAAGTATTAGCGACGTTAGTTACTTCTTTTCTCTCCAAGTAGATTTAATATATAACACAATTAAAAATTTTTAACACTTACAGATTTAACAATTAAAGCTTTATATAAAGTTAGTTTCTTTTATTCTTCTTTCTAAAAAGAAATACACGCGAAAGAAAAATGTTAAAATTAATGGGATTCATAATATAAATAGTAAAATTACTTGTTTAATTGTTTAAAAACGTATTGCAATGCGTTTCTTGCTATTTTCTTTCTTTGTATATAGAATAATGAATAAATTTGAATAGAAGATAAAGAATAAATGCAAAAATTGACACACGCATACAAAAGGGTTAGTAGGAAATACAAGATACAAAAAGTAATAAAATATATTCGAGACAGAACTGATTTTTCTTTATTCCATAACTATCTTTATATTGATATGAGACTCTACACACACACACAGCCTAACAGATTTATGTATAAAAATTTAGTCAGTCTACAGAACCATCTCTATAGATGTACTTTAAATTTAAAATTTGTTACGTTATTTTTTGGGTGTTATCAATATTATTTATTTAAACTACATGAAACATTGCGTATTAAACGTATTAAAAATATATTAAAGTAATAATAGGCAAGATATCTCAAAGCTGTTGTTCTTTTATTAATTGTGTATATATTTTTAAATACTTTGAGATTCAATAGTCGAATTTATCTTCTCTTAATAGAAATTTGATCGAATAATATCCTTTCTATAAAGATTTTAACTCTATCTTACATAATTACACTAACAATATTTAAAAAGAAATAGCTCTGACCAATTCTTAAAACAAAAAGTAAGATTCTATCATAATAAATATCATTCAAAATTAAATTGAACGTATAAGAGTTTGTGTGTCGTCACAAGTAGCTTATCTAAAAATTAAATTTAAGATTCTTAAAATTAAAGTTAAGATTCTCTTCATCTTTAATTATTTATAAGAGAAAAATGTGCTACATTGACATTACTATTAAGAGAATTTTGATTCGAAATTGTTATCCATATTTATGTCAAAATCACCGTGTTTAAAAAATGAGCCGTGGTTTCACAGCAATTTTTTTTACAACAAGGATAAAATAATTATTTAGTAATGACTATTTGATAATCTATTTGAAAAGGTCTTCTTTTTAATCGATGATTAATTGATTGATTTTTTATTTATAGAGAAAGAGAGAGATGAAAAATAATATATGTTTAATAAAATTCAAACTCTGTATAATTTCGTTAAGTTTACAAACATATAATAAATGGATTTTATGCCATTTATTGCGATTTTACCGTGACAAATAAGGGTAGAAATAATTTTCGCGTGTGTACAACATTGAAATATGTATTTATTCTATCCGATATTATTCTGATTTCAGTTTTCGCTTTGACATATAGGTGTGTTGGGACAATAAGCGTGGGGCTTAATGAAAGAAAGAGTTCTCGAATCTCTCTGCTATAACAATGTATCTTTATTATTACATTCTCGGATTTTAAATCGCTGCTTTTTTTTGTTAATTTTTTTTTCAATTCCTGCCGATGTATAATCGTGTTTTAATCTAGGACAATTCGTAGTAGATCAAGACTCGTATTATCCTCCGCTAGATAAGAATGACTGAGGAAAGCGCGTCGCGTCATTTCGCTCGCTGTTTGCGTTACAAATAGAGAGCGCCGGCGTCGGCGGAGCTTTCCGCATCGGCGGCCGCTGACGCTCGCGAGCTGCCGTGTCCGAGACCCCAGTTGTGTCCCCATCTGAGACGATGTCCCTTGTTAACGCCGATGGCGGATGCGCTGCTCTGAGCGTCGGCGGTAACGATGGCACCCTTGCCTCCGCTGGAGTGTGTACCGGTCACGATCACCTCCCCGCTGGCCTTGCCGTATCCCGCGCCGATCTCAATGAGCTCCTGCTTGCGGATGCTGGCCTTGGAGGCCGCTTGAGCGATGGCGTTCACCTTGGCGTCGGCCGTTCTAGACTGCGTGTCCTCTTCAGCCACCACGCTGGCTTCGGCCGCCCTGTTCTTGGCCTGTACGAAGTTCCTCTGGGCGGTGATAAGCGCGGCTATCGCTGCCTTGGCCACGGCGTTGGCGTCCCTTGCTTCGGATTGTTTGGCAGCAGCAGTGGCCGCTGCTGCGGCAGCCGCGCTTTCAGCTGCCATGGCTCGTTGAGCGGCAGCGTTGGCCTCCTGATTTAAGGCTGACGCCTTTCGTGCCTGCACGGCGGCAGCCTCGGAAGCCGCTCCCTGGATGCGCGCCAATCTGAGAGCCGTCAGGGCGCTACCGGCGGAGGTTCTGAGAGCGGCGTCGGCGGTCTGGGCGGCCTGGAGTGCCTGGCCGGCCGATATCTTGGATGTGGCGGCAGCGGCCTCCGCTTCGATCGCTGCTGCACCTAGGGAGGCGGCCGCTTGCTCGACCGCGACCGTCTTCGCGGTGGCGACCGACTGCGCTTCGGCGGCGCCCTGGACCAGCACGGCAGCGTCGTCGGCCAGGGCACGCGCCTTGGCGTTCTTCGCGGCGGACTCGGTGAGCAGTTCTAATGCCTCCTGCTGTCCCTCGGCGGTCGCCTTGCCGGCACGCAGAGCTGCCCTGGTCTCCACCGCGGCGGACGCCACCAACGTCGAAGCCGCGCTCGAAGCTCCCACGCGGCTGAGGATGTTGCTGCTACTGGCCCTGGCGGACGCGGACGCAGACGCGGCCGATTTGGAACCGGCACCGGAGCTCCAGCCACCCGACGATGCGTCGGCCGAGGCGGAAGCGGATGCGGACGCGTCCGCGGCCGAACTGCCGAGGAGAAGCCGCCCGCTGGCGTCGGCGAAACCCCAGAGGAGGAGGGTCGTTGCGATTATCGCTGGGATCTTCATCTTCGACGAGATTTCTTCGCGGATTGATGCCCGATACTGCCGCGTCCACGATTATATACCGCTCGCGAACAGTTGTCATAATACCGACACTGCCACGCGAAAAAATCTCCAAATCGACCGAACTCAAAAATATTTTTTCAGGATGTCGATCGCGCGGTGCGAGCGCACCTCCCTTACAATTTAATCGCCGTTTACTTAAGTGCGTTTATACTTGCGATTGTGAATTCAATCGTAAGCGTTGATCGGCTAATCGGTGTTCTTTAAGCGAAATTCTCCATATTATAACTTATCTTGGAAACAACTATGTTCAGGAATGGATATTTTGCTGTATATATATAT